GAATTCTGGGAGTTGAAGTCCACTCATCTTAAAGTGGCTAAGTTTGGACAACACTGTATTAAACCCTCTGAATTTCCCATAACTCATTTGTTAGTTATCTGGCAGTGACTCAGTCCTGCCATACAAATCTACTCCCATTATGTCATATAAATAGGTCATTTTTATAAAGCATTTTGGGAAACATGGAATAAATTCAGATTCAAGCTGGCAGTTATTTATCACTGTGTATCAGAATATACATAGGATCCAATGTGTGTGGCCATCCCCAATACTTTTTCCATGTTCCCAAGTATTTTGCTGCTACGCAACTAGAAAAACAAACATGTCCACTTAGTTTGCGATCTCTGATCTGGTCTAGATTCTTCCAGTCATTATCTACACTTCAACCCATTTGAGAAAATTGAGCTAAAAAGCAATAAATAAAGGAATATAAGACATGACTCGGGGGGGGGGGGGTTGTTGGTTGATTTATTAAAAGAAAGAGAAGAAAAAAAAAAAAAAAAAAGAGAAAATAAAAACGTTGGTCGGGGGGGGGGGGTTGGTTGTTCGTTTAATTAAAAAAAGAGAGAGAAGCTAAAACAAAATGTAGCAAAAGCAATTAAAATGAGGTATTAAACTAAGATGAATAAAGTAAAACTTTTCTCCCTTAAATCCATTAAAAGCAAGATGAAATGAAAATATTTTTGCTACCTTATGTTTTTTCTTGGGGAATTCCAGTACTGGTGTGTTATCACAAAAAAGCATCTAGTCCATATTCTTACCATGTTCTGAGGTAAGGAGACATACAGTATTGACTCAATTTTTTTTTTGTTATCTATGGAATTAGTTAATATGGGAAGATTTTGGTTTTTGGGTGCCTTTGAGTCAGTCTTGACTTCGGGTGGTTGCCTAGACTATTTCCTGCAGTTTTCTTGGCAAGACCTTTGGAAGTGGTTTGCCCTTGCCTTCTTCTTCCTAGGGCTGAGAGAGAGAGACCAGCCCAAGGTCACGCAGCTGGCTTTGTGCCTAAGACAGGACTAGAACTCCTGGTCTCCTGGGTTCTAGCCTGGCGCCTTAACCACTGCACCAAACTGGTTCTCATGGAAAGAAAAACAATCTTTAGATATTAATTCCCCAAACTATATTTGTTCTAAAGATACTAACAGCTGTTGTATTATTATTATAAGGAAACTGGTCAAGATGAACGTACCTTGTTCCTTTTTTTACATCTGCCCCATATGATTAGATGTGTCTCCCATCCCAGGGTGGGGTCCTGCCAAAGAAAGTGGAGGAGGGTCCGAAGATACTTTCTCTTCTTCCCTTCTTTTCAAACATGCTGCTTTAGGATTCAGATTCCTTTCTGTGAGATCAAAATTTAAGATAATTTTAAACAATTTTCAAAGCCCATTGGCCTACTTACTTCATACACTCAAGTATAACATCTTGCTCATCCTCCTCTCATTTTCTTCAATTTGCCAGGAATCTCCATTATAATAAGAACGTGCTTCAGTTTTCTGAATCTTGTGTCCCTGGCTATTTCACACTTAAAAACTGTCTTTATTTCATCTTTAGGCCTTGTTCATCTCAATTTGTGAACGTTCAAGACAGAGATTCACCTCCATTTCAGAACAACTGTTATTTCAATCTTTAGGGGATACAACCCAGTTGTTAACCAGTAAAGAAATGAAATATTTTTAAGTTATTTTAATTGAACTACTCCCAAGTAGCACTGGGACCCCACTTGCTTGATGTACAACATAATTTATCTACTAAACAAACTAGCCACCTTAGGGTTTTGGGTAATAATAATCACTGAATCCATAAGCATAAATAAACCTGACAATGAATTTTGTGATACTGACTTATAATCAGGGATGTGCTTCTTGGGATCCATGCATTCCAGGCAAGACCAGCTCATCTCGTGCAGACTAAATTTCAAGGTGAGCCATTTCAATTATACCACTTTGCTGCATGAGGATGACATTTTCATAGCAGTTTTCATAGCACAGTGGTGCCTTGGACTGGTTTGAGTTCAAACCTATGCTTTAACAAAGCATTCTTATGACCTGGAGGCATCAAATCCAACGTTGCATCATTAACAAAGCACACTAATCCCATACTACATTCCTAAGATCTAAGGCTTCCACAACAAGACATAATCTCATGCATTTACCTCAAAGAAATGTCCAGAACATTCAGTCTTTCTCCAAAACATCTGAATGAATTTGAGATTTCCAGAATGATTGGATAAAATTAGTCTTAACTCACCTCTGACTTGCTGCTCTAAACTGAGGATAACTGCTACAGCTTGATGTAAGATCAAAAGTTTGGTCTGGGGCTTGTCACTCTTTAGATGGAGCTGCACCATCCGGCCGAGCTCCTTGAAAGCCTCGTTGATGTCACGGACACGCAGGCGCTCACGGGCATTGTTGGCCATTCTTCTTTCTTTCTCGCGCTCTGCTTTTTGCTCCGGTGTAAGATCTTCGTCATCATTATTGCTGAGAGAAAAACAGAACACAGGATTTTCTAATGGGGTTGAAACCTCAGGTGTTCTAACAACATTTTACTCTATTTGAAAGAACGAGCTTTACTGAAAAGGACACAGAAGTGTTGAACTTCAGTTGTATTGTATGGTATTGTAGAAGGCCAAATAGAACTAAATCAACAAAATATGTCACTTTTTAAAAAAGCTATACATGCCAATACATGGTTTCACTGACATCTGTTATATTGAATGTGATCAAGAGTATGTATGCATTCACTGTGGGAACACATACATCAATGAAAGAACTAGAACTGTAGCATGACTTTTGATATATTCAAGAAATTGATCCACAGTAATTCTGGATCAATTCAGATTTGATTCCAAAAAGGTGCTTTGGAATGCATGGGAGCACAAGAGTACCACTTCTTTGCAACACTTTAAATCAGCAACATCTTATTCCAGGATATTGAGAAAGATGCATCTGCTTAAAAGGGTGCAGTCAGGTGCTGTGAGTGTGCTTTTATGCACTCTGAAGCATCTTTCTGGAATTGAATCCAAGGCACTGCAGAGCCCTAATAGGCAAAATATGTTACGTTAAAACCAGAATGAAAACTGCTGTTGTAATATATGCATATGTTTGTACTTACATATATTTCTACAGGGATCTTAGTCATTGAGTTATTAACCTTAGCGATTATCCTATTTTTTTCCCTTCTGTTTTTATATTATGCTGAAAAAAGTTAATTTAGCCTGCAGCTAACCCTGGTATCAGTCTTGGCACCCCTCAAATATGTCTGAATGATGTAAAACTTTGTACAGAGCCATTGTTCCTGCTAAAATCCAAAGCAAAGGTGCAAAGTTGGAAATAATAACTCTTGCTAACCTGCTGCTCTTTCTCTTTGCTTTGGATATTCTAGTGACAATCAGAGATGGAAATTCTGTAATAAGGAAGTCTGCGCTGTGTTGCACAGAGATGAGCACTGAACTCAAACAGATTCAGATCTACACTCAGCCATATACAGTAGTTCCCTGAAAGACACTGAAAATCAGTAACTACCTTTCAGGCACAGCCACCTCAAGGAGGTACTGTGGGGAAAAAGTGCGGACTGGGAAGGAGATATGATGCCCCGAGCTCTAAGGCAAATTGCAAATGACATAACTGTAATAGTTTCTTTCTGCGGTGAATTTTATGTTCCTATAAATGCCACAAATTTATGCTGTTTATTAAGGAACAAAGCGTATAGTGAATTTTGAGAGTTAGAAGGATAATAAGCAATATCAGAAAACAAATGGGCCTTTTTCCATGTTGTGTTTCCCTTCCCTTGGAAAACTGGATCGCAGAACATCTCTAAATGAACTACAGTCCACATAGAGCTAGTTGAGCGAGGAGCCAACATAGACCAAAGACCCTATATGATCTAGCTAGATGAGGATGATAATATTGATGGGTCTCCCCCCCAAACTGTATTTTTGCTTCATGCCCAAAGGGCACTTGAAAGGATTAGCAGCAATAAACAAATAAACAAACAAACAATAAACAAACATACAATAAATACCAGCAGTGAATATCTGACAACAGCAGTAACCAATTTGAATTATAAAGGTCTGGCTACATTAAGTCCAATATGTATTTCTTTCATTGCACAGTTATGAGTCAGTCTGAAGTTCCTTGCAGATACTTCTCGCAGCTCTACCTGTAAATGAACTCCTTTGACATTAGGCCCGCTGCCTTGTGGGGATTTGTATCATGTAACATCTTACGCGCTTAGAAATCAGAAAACAATTTTTATGCACACAGGCAACAGGGCATCTTTCAAGGCTGTTTCATATTTCTCGCCTGCATTACTGATTCCTTCAGCCACTGAATGCAAGAGACTGAAACAATTGTATGTCGAAGAAGCAAAATGTTATCCTAAGTGCAAAGTGATTTCTATTAAATTAAGTTTTTAAAATTATATTTATTTCTGAGACTTCTCCATATGCCACTCGGTTTTTAAAACCAATGCACAAGGAGAGCTTAATTTATTTAATATTCAACAACCATTCCGTTGTTCAGACAAAATCTGAATGTAATATAAGGTAGTTCAGAAACATTCTTGCTGATGAAATCCAATATATTTTATGAAGAACATAAGGAACAGACTGAGGGTCAGTGGTAATGGAAGTAAAATCATGCATACTGTGGTCATCGATGCCTGTAAGCAAGAAACAATGGTCTACATAAGGTTCCAAGTCATTTTTGGGAACAAGAGATGATGAAATTATTCAGTTTCTTTCCAAACCTTGGCAATGGGCCTCAGATCATATTAACAATTACTTCTGCTTAAATTGGACAAGCTACCCTGATTTATCCATTTAGAGTTATGTACTTAAAAAAAAAAAGGAAACAAAACAGGAAGGAACATGTGTATTCCATTCGGGTAAAAACTATTATAAAAATGGCATCTGTTTAAAACTTTTTTGTCTATGTGTGTGTAGCTTTCATATATACATCAGACCACTGAATATGACTCCAACTCTTAAGTCTATATAGCTCTATCTATACAGTTCTGCCTAAAAGTTTGTCCTTTTGCCAAATTCAGCCCTCCCAGAGTACACGCATCCAAACAGATACTCTTAGTACTTCCAGAAAGGGCTATGAGTTTTCTGTCTGATTTTGACCGGCAGGAAAAAAACTCCAGAGTTTCTTCCTGTTCTGTTCACTTCATCAAAATCCAATAAAGGAATTAAATGAAGCGACACTATTATATACGGTTACCTAGATCTTGACCTAGTAATTGATTTGATATCCTTCTTGTCATCGTCCAACTTCTTGTCCTCAGAAGGTTTTGTGTCCTGGAGGTTTTCATCTCCTTCGTCATCAGATTTTATTTCAGAACTCCCTGAAGATATGCTTTGCCCTTGAAGTCCAGTTGGGATGCCTAGGGAGAAACGAACAAAATTATATGTCTGTGTATGCGTCTCTAAGTTTCGATAGACATATGTGAACATGCATATCTACACCAACACACAAATAGCAAAAATGCTTATGAATTTTGTGTGTGTTACATTAATAGCCTACTTATTTTGCAGAAGGAAGGAAGGAAGGAAGGAAGGAAGG